GCAGCCAGGTTCTTCTCGTGTCTGCTGAGGTGAATGAAAAGTTAGAATCTCAGATCACAGAGATGAAGGGTCATTCTTCCCCCTCCTTAGCCTTGTGTAGTTTAAGAGTTGAGGCACTACTGAAAAGTGACGATCTAGAAACAGAGAGAACTCTCAAAATTTAGCTTTGTTTGTCTAGGGCCACGCCACCCTGAACAAGCCTGATCCCGTCCGATCTTGGAAGCTAAGCAGGGTCGAGCCTGGTTAGTACTTGGATGGGAGACCACCTAGGAAGACCAAGTGCTGTATGCCTAAAAAAATAAGGAATTGTAAGTGACAAGGTCCTTACAATCTGTGAAGTCAACCAAGGGTTGCCTGTAATGCTTATTAGTCATTCAGAATAGTTGAATATACTATGCCATGCCACCCTGAACAAGCCTGATCCCGTCCGATCTTGGAAGCTAAGCAGGGTCGGGCCTGGTTAGTACTTGGACACTTAGTCCATCTGAAGTATTCTGTGAACCGCAGAAAGGTTCCAATGCTGGAAACTTCTCTTATACTTCCTACCTAGAATTCCCCATCTCCTGCTCAGCTATGAGTATATTGATCTCAGGCTACTGGGTAAGCATGTGCTGGCGACCCAGGTGTTCTGATACTGGCCCATGGCCCTTTGTGGTGCTGTACAGCTTTGTGCATTGAAGAGCTGCTTGGCTTATCATCCCACAGCTCTGGGTGCCTTCGGGGGCGGGAGTTCCTCTTTGGATAATGGAAATTAGAACAATGAACTTCACAGGGGAATAAATGTAACCATTGTGACTTCCACTGAGGAAGAAGAGATGCCGTCCCTCTTCCGTGCAGTGCCTTTCTCATAATCTCTTGTTCGATGCTGGTGTTTTCACGTGTGGTACTGCTGTGCCCCTCGCACTGCGTGAGTTAAGTGCAGCAAGCAAACTTGCAGCCGAAGTCCTTTTCCCACAGCTGCGTCAGCTCAGTTGAATGTACGGCACAAGGAGAGATTTTTTGCTGTTTAGCTTTTTAGTGGACAACTGAGAACAAACCTTTTAGATAAGAAGGATGGGTTCTTGGCGATCAAGGTATAGAGACTGAATCACAGGGCTGATTTAGTCTCGTCTCCTTGCATCAAAGGCTGCTCGACCCCACCCCTGGGTAGAAGGAACATCCCCTAAGGTCAGCATCCCTGGGCGTGCGAGTGAGGGCTGCTCTCCTCTGACCCAACCTGAGTCACCTCTCGGGGAGGCCTGAAATCACTATATTATGAAACGGGCTCCTTTAACACCTATTTCTGGATGCCACGGGATGTCCACTCCGTCATTCTCATCATTGTTCCCAAATGCAAATGTTCATGACGTACAACGTGCACTGCAGCATGCACCCCATCGTGAGGGGTCGTGAACAGCGTCCGTCTCCAAAATGTGCCCGGTCTGCTTGTGGTGCTGTTGAACTTCAGCATGCCGGCACTTACAGAGCACTTACAGTGTGCCAGGCATGTGCTAACGAGTGCCTGGTGTCATAACGAAACGGCATAATTAGGTGACTGGTGTAAATGGCAGGACAGGCCTGAATGCGCAGTTTGTCTTCAGAGCCTGTACTCTCAAGCTTTCTACACCTTATGTAGCATTGTCTTTTCAAAGAATCTTTTCACCAAATCTTGAAGTTTTCACCCACCCTAAGTGGATGAGTACAAACAAAACTTTCAGCAGTATGACAGTCCGACGTGTTCAGTCCACACAGAAGGACTAAGTTGAACTTGCCCAATGATGGTTCCTTGGAACTAGAGCAGCGAACGCCCCGAGGGAGGAGGTGATATGAGCCATAGTTCGCTCTCGCCCAGCAAATAAGGAAAAGGCGCCCAGATGTCCACACTGGCACTACGATGCCAGCTGTGAGAGAGCCAAAGAAGCTTCTGCCGGGGAGGTGGTTTTCTAGTGCCAGGCGTGTCGGTCAGCTCATTGGGGGGGGCTGTCCCTTGTCCCTCAGGGTCCCTTTCTGTAAATAATGCGATGCTCTCTGAGGTCCCTTCCAGCTCTGCAATGTTATTGGCCTGATGGAGAGTTGGCACTCACACTGGCTTCTCACCACTCTGAGCGGCCAGCTGTCCCCTTCTGCGTGACCAGGAAGTATTTCTTGGAACACTCATTATGCGAAGTGCCAAGGGGAGCACACAAGTAGGAGACAGCCTCTGCCACCGGGTTGCCTACAGTTAGATGGCACACACAAAAATGCTGCATCTCAAGCATCGGCAAAGGACTCTCCAGAACCACTCCTGAAGGCTTCCTAAAAATGAGCGCCCTTGGGCCTTGCAGGACAGGTGTCCGGGATGGAGGGTGGTACAGGCAAGCTCCTTGCTTAAGCTGAGAAATTTTTCCAAACCAGTGGGTGACAGTGACAAAAATTTACATTTTAAAACATTAAGGGTAATAGCGAACACAGATGGAATTAGTAATAATAAATAGTATAATGAACCCCGCGTAGCCGCCACCCAGCTTCAGTCATAACATTCTGCTAGTCTTGCTTCATCTACGCCCTCCCTTGTTTTTGTTTTCTGGGGTCTTTTAAAAGCAATTCCAGATGTGTAATTTCATCCATAAATACATCAGTGTGAGAAATGCTTGAGTCTAATTTGTACTTTAAAACAATTGTACTGAAGACTAGCAGGAGGATCTGAGATGCAAAGGACAGTCAAGGAATGAAGGAAGGTTTTTTTTTTTTTCAGTTTATTTTTATGTTTTGAGGTATAATTGACATATATTAGTTTTAGGTATACAACATCATGATTTGTCATTTGTATATCGCATCATGGTCACCACAGTAGGTCTAGTTAGTATCGGTCACCATAGTTATAAAATGTGTGTGTGTGTGTGTGTGTGTAAGACAGAAAAAGGGGGTGTTTTTTTAAATCATTTGGCCCTGTTCAATCTTCCTCAGGGTCTCAGGAAAAACAACTTTGTGGGAAATCAGTGAGAATGAGTAAGACCCTCAGATTTTGGTGGCCGCGCTGGCATTTCTCTCTCTGTGACGCAGTGCAGAAAGGCAAGGTGAGGGCCCAAGTGGTCTTCGTTTGTCCCAGCTCGTGGAAGCACAGTCTTACCTTCTTCAAGGTAGATTCTTGGGGCCCAAAGTTTCTCTTGATTAATAGGCTTTAAAATAGTGCAGCTAAAAGCTTGTGTCACCAAAGTAGAAGACCTGAGTCTCCAGCCACACTCTTCTTGTTGAAAGAATAGTACTCATAAAGTACTAACTATTCTACTTAACATTTGTTGAGTATCCTCGGCAAGTCAAGCATGCTCCGAACCGAACCATAATTAGCTTGTCTTGTGCCCTCAGCTGAGCTGGAAAAGGCAAATAAGTTGCTTAAGGGAACAAGAGTCCCTTGATTTTATTGTCTATATCTGGATGTTTTACACTGCAAGTAGCAGGAAGCTCAATCCCAAGGGGTTTAAACAATAAGGACAGGACAGTGCCGCAGGATTCAGAGTTCACAGGTGCAGTGAATCAACGGTGTTGTCAAGGACCCAGGTTCTTGCCATCCCTCTGCTCTGCTGGTCACAGTGTCCTAAATCTAGTGCCCCTTGAGCGGTAGGATGGTTACCAGTAGCAAGGCTTCCTCGTTCATGTTCAGAAGTGGAGAAAGGCTCTCTCCCTGTTAAAATCAGGCATCTTTTCCAGCAGTCCTGGCACACTTCTCACATCTCATTGGCTGATTCACATTCATTTAAGCCTGCTTGTCCTTAAAACCAATCACTGGCAGAGGAGATAGGATTTCTGTGATTGACTTAGCCTGGAATGAGACCAAGCTCCTTAAGGTACTGCTTCCTTGCCTTAGGGAGGGAAGGTACAGATGGTGTGAGGTTCACTACAGTCCACACAATTCTTTGCCGGACTGGTATCTGACTCCATCAAGTGACAAAGAGTGGTTCCACTGCAGGTGCTCCCTCCTCAGTCCCCTCCATTGCTGTGTGGGAGGAGCAGTGTTTGTACACAGGTTTAGAACCTCATTTTGGCCATATTTTTATGGTTTGCTTTGTTCGTATCAAATGGAATAAAATAAAAGGCCCCAAAGTGGCCAAATCTCTTCCCTCTTTCCTTTCCAGAGATAACTTTCGGTCCTTGTCTAGAAGACAGATCTTCAGATTGTGGAGGAGAAAATTACTCTTTATCCCATGGGCAAGTCCAATCTATGTCAACTTCAA